ACATATCAGCGACCCTGTATAACAAAAACCCTCTCACAGCCAAGCGAGTAAGTAAATTGAATCTATGGAGTAAGTACAAGGGGTATGCATATTCTGAAAAGGTCATTATAGATAATTATATCGGTACTTACAATTTGGATATCAGAGAATCCATCTTCAATGGGCACAGGGAACCTTTCCTGTTCTACGCCCGACGTCGACTGCTTTCATATTTCTCAAAATCAAACTACTCCATCCAATATTTACCTCTCTGATTGTATATTAATTTTTATATCTCAGCAGTATTAGAATCGATGTATTTTTCGTTCAATCTGAGTTCATACAGGTTATGGAAATATTAGTTGTAATAGGAAACATTAGTTCCTGTCTATATAGGTATGAGTGTCACAGGTTCTTCAATGAGGAGAAATAAATTGCTCCCCAAATTGGATCAGATTGCATCAATCAATCAATCAATCAATCAATCAATCAATCAATCAATCAATCAATCAATCAATCAATCAATCAATCAATCAATCAATCAATCAATCAATCAATCAATCAATCAATCAATCAATCAATCAATCAATCAATCAATCAATCAATCAATCAATCAATCAATCAATCAATCAATCAATCAATCAATCAATCAATCAATCAATCAATCAATCAATCAATCAATCAATCAATCAATCAATCAATCAATCAATCAATCAATCAATCAATCAATCAATCAATCAATCAATCAATCAATCAATCAATCAATCAATCAATCAATCAATCAATCAATCAATCAATCAATCAATCAATCAATCAATCAATCAATCAATCAATCAATCAATCAATCAATCAATCAATCAATCAATCAATCAATCAATCAATCAATCAATCAATCAATCAATCAATGTTAGATCTTTCACTCCTCGATCACAACTAGGCGGAAGCGAGGATGGAAATATACAGGTTGATATTCAGATAATCAAGAAGAAACAAGGGCGTCGCCAGCGAAAAAAATAGGGGGGGGGCACCATAAAAAAACTGAAGAGAAAAATCAAATAAAAAGAGTTTAATGAGAAAATCAAAAAACAGAAGAAAATCTATACAGTAAATGGACTTGGAGAAGTTTTGTAACTTTTGTGAACTGAATTTATTGGATATAAATGTTGATAAATGCAAGAGGTGATGCGTTTTTATAGAATACAAAATCCAATTGTATGTAATTATTTTATTGATAATGTCAATTCACAGTCTGTTGAATATATAAGTGATTTAGGTGTTGTGTTCGACAAAGACCTTAGTTTCAACCATCACATAAATAGTATTTGCAATAAGGCCTTGAGAATGCTTGGATTTGTGAAAAGGCACACTCAAAATATATCCAATATTGAATCGATAAAAACATTATATCTATCGTTGGTACGTAGTGTTCTGGAATACAACAGCATAATCTGGTCGCCATTTTATCTTGGTCACAAGGAAAGAGTTGAAAGAGTTCAGAATCGCTTTACAAAATTCATAATCTATAAAATGAGAATGTCTTTTCATGGATTTGATGCTACTACGAGGCTCACAATAGTTAACATTCAGACTCTTGAAGACAGGCGCAAACTTGCTCTGATCTTGTTTCTGCACAAAATTTTTAATAACTCCATCGATTGCTCTGATATCCTGAACAAATTGTTTATAAATGCTACTCCTAGGAATACTAGAAATAGGCAGTTTTTCTATTTGCAAAATCACCGAACTAATTATGGCAGCACTGCATTCACATCTAAACTTCAGAAGAATAATTACAATGATCATTTTGCTTCCCTTGATATTTTCAATATTTCATTGAGTCGCCTTAAATCACAAGCAAATCACAAGCTGCGGTCTGAATTTGAATTAGTACATACATAGTTTTATGTGTTTTTTTTTGTATCCTATATTTATATAGTTTTCATGATTTTTTAACGTGTTGAATGTTTATTGTTATATAACTTATATTTTATACTTTATGTACCATTTGGAATTATATATTATTCTGTGGTGTACTTTGATGAATAAATAAATAAATAAATAAATAAAATCAGTTGAAGAATAATCTTCTAGGGTTCTTTGGGAATTCGTTGGTCACTTTTTGACGAAATCGTTCAAGTTTTTGAAAATATGTTGCCTGCATGTGTATACTCATCATTGCGAGGCCATTGAGTCGAGCATCATACATGGTGCTCCTCAACCAGTTTTTGATTCTCCTAAGGCTACTAAATGACCTTTCAACTGTACAAATCTTACAAGGTAAAGGCAACAAGGATCTTCAGAGCCTTCTCAACTTCAGGAGAAAAATATACTTTCGGAAGTTCTTTGCTCAAAGTGAGCATAAGTAATATCACGATATTCTCAATATTCGAGATCATTCTCTCGCCTCATTGTTCACGAAATTGTATTGCTGAGCAACACCACGAGTCAGGACGAAAGGTAGGGCTGTACGGCAACACAATAGATTTGACACGGAAATGAAGAATTATGAGAATACATTCAGAACAGAGTGGAGACTATTTCACGTTCACGAGGCAAAGAAGCATTTATTTTGAATGAATGATTCATTCTGACAAGTACAGTCATTATTTTTTGCCAAATTGACAGACTTCGTTTCGCTACCCATGGTTACATCGTTGAAAACATCTAGTTTTCGCGATAAGCACACGTTTTCTCTGGCTTGTGATTGGTCAGATTATGTGATAAGTCATGCTGCAAAACAGAAATGACAGGCAGTGGGACTGATACAAGTGCCATTCCTGGTGACTAGCATACAAGAAGAAAATTAATGTTGGCATGCGAATAAACAGAACGAAGCAAATTTCTCATGAGTTCACTCACGCTTATTCGCTAGTAGTACATTTTTGTAGTGATTTCGAAATTTGATGGGTGGAAATGTTTTGAGATTTGTTGAAACCTGGTTGTAGAGCTGGCAAACCGTATAAGTATGGGACCTCTTGAAAATTGAAGTTCGATGATGTGGTAGAGATATTGTTCCCCTAAACCGTGTGTTCAAATTATGAACATCACTCCAGAAAGTGATTTTAATGTAAAGGTATGGCGGGGTTTCGTAATGTAGTACTTTATGAATTAGAGTCACTGTGTGCAATTCTCTTCTTGCGGACATGCTGAGCCATTTTGAATCTTTCAACTTGTGTGTGATGCTCTGATATTTTTCAATATAAGTGATAACCCAATTGACCTAAGACAAAACGAGGACTAAAAACTCAATAAGTACAGTTGCTGCAGAGTTTGGGTCGTGAAACAATGATTCATATTGATGCGATTATTTTAAAATGTTCAAGTAGATAGGTATGTCCTGAAACGTATTGTAGGTATTTCAATTAGTATCTCCATTTTTTGAAGTTCAAAGAAGGATTCACCTCTTCTACCCATCATCACATCTTCCTCTCAGTTCAATGACATATTTTCTGAACATCAATGGAATAGTTATTTATTATACAAGGGAAAAAAGTAGTAGATTTTAGCTCCAGGTTGTGTTGTCTCCCGACGCGTAGCGGAGGGAGACAAAAAACCGTGAGCTAAAATCTAATATTTTTCCCGTGTATAATACACTATTTTTTTCTGTGACAAAAGGAAGGACGAATCAATATTGAGAAGATATTACATTATTTCGAAATCTGAAAATTAGCGACGTGAAATTTCAAGTTTTTAACAGTAGGGACACCTGCGTTTTATAGACATCTTTATCATTCTTTTGAAGTAATCAAATATCTGATGTCACTTCTGTCAGTTCAATTCTGTGATTTGATTTTAAAAAATTGCGAATTCAGTAGTTGTTTAGTAATATAAGAAACCGCGAAGTCGAATGGAAGATAAAAGGACTTGCAGTTCTTTCTCGGAGACGGTATTATTGACTCATTTTTCGGAACTATAGCACAACAAAAGCCATTAACAGAGTATATATATGTGATATATATCCGGGAAAGAAGTACTCACTTTTTTCCCACGGGAAAAAAGTAATTTATGAAAAGTGACATTTTATAACCTGCCAACAGAGATGAAATGCCAAACTTTTTTCCCGTCACAGAAAAAAAATATAATTTTCACCTTCGATTATCTATACAGGGTGTTTCATAATTGGATGCTGATCCTAAAGGGCGATGATCCTTGGATGATTTTAAGGAGAGAAGTTCATATCAACATATGTCCTGAACCTCTCAGTTTTTGAGCTACAGGGTGTTGAAATCAGAAGCGTACAGCGTTTTTTTAAACTAAACATTCAATATCAGGTCTACGAGGAGATCACTGGTAAAAGTAAAAGTTCGATTCTCGTCCCAAAACAAAATGTGTTTCCACTTATAGTGGGTGTCTACTGAATTACCAAAAACAATATCCAAGAACTGAAGGAACAAAATTCTTTGGTTTTTATTTTTTTACGCGAAAACGGTACGTTGTATGAAAGTGAGTCTAGGAACAAAATTTGCTCCAAAATGAATAAGAATTGAAAAAAAAATCTGGTTCTCAGAAAAATCAGTGGCGTACTATTTTTTTCTTCAAAAATTGTCAGTTCAAACCCCGTACGGACGCTACTGGTGAGAAATTTTGAATATCTTTCACGTAAAAAAATGCTCTCTAATAATGAAAAGGTGTATACAAAATATCATAACAATATCTAAGAGTGATACAAAATTATGATGAAAAACTCATTTTTTTCTTGAAATTTCAACACCCTGTAGTTCAATAACTAAGAGGTTTAGGACATATGTTGATATGAACTTTTCTCTTTGAAATCATCCAAGGATTATCGCCCTTAAGGATCAGCATTCAATTATGAAACACCCTGTATATTGTCAACTAATGATTAAATTAAAATGAGTGGTCTATTATATCATATTCTTTATAGTCGCATTCCAATTTGTTCAACAAGAACCAATGAGTCAGAGCAATTATGATCCAGCTCCTGAATCGTTAAATTAAAAAAAAAAAATGAATCGGTAATCAGCAGCGAGTAATGAACTATACTTATGTTAAAAACTTACCGGTTTGAGATCACAATGAATGATATTCTCCTTCTGCAGTAACCTTAAACATTTAAGGAGTGAGTTGGCGAACCGTCTGATTAGATTCAAGCTAAATCCCTGATAGTTGTTTTTCTTTATTAGTTCGTAGAGGTTGAGACTGAAACAAAAAAATCATTGGAATTAGATTCCACAAAAGAATATATGGGCATTTCATATTATTCCGGTTTATCAATCCATAAGGTTAATTGCTAGTTATAAATGAAATCACGTGTATAGGGAAACAATGTACCTTCCTACATTATTTAGAGAATGCATGAAAGAATTTATAATACAAAAATAATGAACTGTGTTCAATGCAACTATCAATGATATATAATGAAATGTACTAAAGAAAGAATAGGTTGTTGATGAACTATTAAATTAATTGAAGAACTTCAACTCCATTTTCCCCTTCGAACGACAATGATGAAAAATATTAATGCACAGCTTCTAGTACATGTACAGTGTGTCCAGTTTTCGATGCTTTTGCCTGATATCTCAGTTATCTTTGGAGATAGAACCTTGCGGTTTTCGCGGTCCTGTGCCACTTTTTTGTGAAACTCAAGATGGCCTGATTAGATTTTGCAAGACTGTTTCCGTTTATGAGATACAGGGCGATTTTGAAAATTTATACTTTTTGGACCCCCTCTATATCCACGAAGTTTCTCAACAAAAATGTCAAATCAAAATCTTATCGCATAGAGAATTTCACACATAATCCAGTGGCGCACTTAAATTTATTTTTCGGGGTATGGTTTTGGAGATACGACTCAAACTTATGATTTTTTAAATGGAACACCCTGTATTTCATAAGCTCATTAAATTCCTCATTTTATTGTCTTCAAAATGATATATAACGAATGAATATAAAATTCTCAAAATTGCTCAAAATCACTAAAATATTGAATTTTGATAGTTGGATGGATGGATTTTTCTTATGAAAAACGTTCCAATTGAAGAAATATTTCTTTAAATTTTTCCATGGGGAGGTCAAAACCAATATCAACACTTATTAATTAACAAAACACTAAACTTGGGTACCTGATAGCAACAAATAAATAGTAATAAAAAGTTCATAATGTAGAATAAGCACCTGATCAAATATTTACTAAAATAATTGAATTCCGGAATTATTCAGTAACTTATTCATTGACATGTTCAAATTGATATCCATTTTCCCCAACATACAGTTGACAAACTTTCTCAATACTTCTTAATACAGTGAGTGGCCCAACATACTTGAAGAACTTTGTGCAACAACAGAGGCAGTTTTCCAGGAATTACAAAGACATCTTTCAATGATTAATATGTATTGAGAAAGTTTGTGATGAAAAATGGACATCAATTTGAACAATTCAATGAATGAATTACTGAATAATTTCGAAATTCAATTGTTTTAGTAAATATTCAATCAGGTGCTTATTCTACATTATAAACTTTTCATTACTATATATTTGTGGATATCAGGTATCTGAGTCTAGTGTATCGCAAGTTGATTAGTGTTAAAATTGTTATTTCCCCCTTCATGGAACAATCAAAGGAAATATTCCTTCAATTGTAAATTTCTTTATATGAAAATCCCTCGAAAAACCCATAGCCCACTATTAAAATTCAATGTTTTAGTGATTTTTTTACATTTTTGAAGATGTTATATTCATACATCATATATCATTTCGAAGGGAGAAAAATAAGGAATTTAATGAGCCTATAAAATACAGGGTGTTCAATTTGAAAAATCATAAGTTTGAGTCGAATTTTCAAAACCACACCCCGAAAAAAAATTTTTGTGCGCCACTGAATTCTGCATAAAATTCTCTATGGGTTAAGATTTTAATTTGACATTTTCGCTGATTAACTTCGTAGATACCTATAGAGGGGGCCCAAAAAGTATAAATTTTCAAAATCGCCCTGTATCTCATAAACGGAAACAGTCCTACAAAATCTGATTAGGCCATCTTGAGTTTCACAAAAAAGTGGCACAGGACCGCGAAAACCGCAAGGTTCTATCTCCAAAGATAACTGAGATATCATGCAAAAGCATCGAAAACTGGACACACTGTACTTTGTTAGTGTGTGTGTGTTTCTTCTATTTTAATCTCTTGAATAACACGAAAAAGAATCCCTATCATGTTTGTGCAACAGTCGCATAGCTTGGGAGGATTAGGGAATGATATATATTATTTTCTTCTAGCATGACAATACATACATTGTGAAACGTATTTGTGACGTATTATCCCAGTTTCAACATAATTTTAGTCAGTAGGATCATGTAGGACCCATATTCAATGGGCATACCTATTATGTATATATTATTCCATCAGAGTATACTAACTAGTGTTGGTGGAGAATAGTTCAACAAATATAGACAATGACGATGAAAATATAATATGCTGATTGAACTGTGTTAAAGGGCCACCGTGATGGGCGAGTGGACTGAAAATGAAATATTGGCATTCAGTTACTCCATTGTGTCATTGTCATTAGGGACCTAAATTAATTTTTTCTACACGTCTCCCGCTTTTTTATGTGAATACACTATGCGTAGTTCGAAATTGTTGAGTTTCAGAGCTCATTTTGAACGTACCGTCATGGCCGTCATTTGGCGATACGTTGAATAAATGGTGACGTCAGTTTTTATGCTGTTTCGTAGGTAATATTACATTCCCACTCATGGAGCAAGGTTGTTACGTCAGCAATTATAATCAAATTATAAAAAATATGTAAGAGTAATGTCGTTGAATGAAACATAATAGGAGAAAGCCATGATATTATAGTTCTTTCTTGACGAGCAACCAGCATGTCCAAATTTTCCTTAATATACTCCATAACAAAATATCATGTGGATGTTGGGGACTTAGCAACATTGTGCTGAATGCTGATAACTGACAAGACAACGCCTGCCACAATTCATGCGCCGTTTTGACATTTTCTCCGGTTCAAATTTCCTCTAGTTAAAATTAATATGATGATTATTTACACAAATGTATTATTAGCAACACATGAGGAAATATTTTGAGAACATTGTTTCTTATTGCTAATTAGGAATATTACCAATACATGATTGACAATTTATAGATTTTTGAATGAATAATATTTCTGAAGTTCCCAATCATATTTCACATATCTGTGCTATGGTCTGCTCCCGGTAAATTTCTAGCCGTTTGAAAATAACCGAGGCATTATTGATGACTTTAGCACCTTGAAATCGACTGTAATTTTTTTCTAATATGAAATTTAATGGTATTTGAATGATGATTCTAATCAAAAAATGTAACAAATATTCCACTCGCCAATTATTTTTCGAACAAACTCGACATGCCCAGTCAGTCAACCTTTTGTCGTCAATCTTTGAATATGTCGAACAACTCTCCACCAAAATTTGTGTATCTATAGAACGGCAAAGCCTTGGAATTCTTTGAAAAATTAAGTATTCCCAAGAACTTATAATCCCCAAAAGTAAAAAAAAATCCATCACCTATTATAATACGCACGCTGTTTTCCCAGTCATATGGATACCATTCCGTGCGCCCCAAAAGATAAATATATGAATACACCAAAAGCCATAGCCAGCGGAAGCTGTACAAGTAGGTAAATTTCATCACTATCCAGTTCAAGAACGAAGATAGAGGTCACGAATCAAACAGTAAGAGCATCAGCAAGAAGCAGTCTAGTCAAGAGCATGATAATAATGATCTAACTGAATATACATGAATTCTATCGTTTTGTAAGGCGAACACAGTGAATTCAATTTCCCTTTCTTTAATAAAAGTGAAAAGTGTTTTATGAACTATTTCATCAAATTTGTAATGATAATTGTTGTGAAACTCTGTTTCATTACATGCCCAATTAACACCAATAATGATTTTGTGATTAACATTAATTGGATAGTTATGTTTTAATCAACAGAGTCACACAACATTTTCTAGAACAGAAATGAAAAGGAAAATGACATTTATGAGTGTATTAGATTTCTGAAAACTTTCAAGCAAGTAACTTTTATTGATAATTCGCCATTTCGTACAAATTCCTCATTTATACTAGGTATACACTTGCAAGAATTACTTCCGATATTTCGTATGTTGGTATACTAGCTGGCGACATTTTATATTATCATCATTTTGAATAGAATCGGACCAAAATTACAAAGCTCTTCCGCCATATTGGATCCGTCATCTTCAATCTCCTAGTTTTGATGAAACTGAAAACCCCCAGATACCAATTTTGAATAGAATCGGATTATAATTGCAAATTCTGCCATATCCGCCATATCCGCCATCTTGAATTTCCAAATTTCCACGGATTTCAATAGTCATTATCCTATTCTGGAATGAGAGAACACGACTTTCTATAGTGAATGCCTCCACAGTATTTTTTTTTCAGTTAACACTCCGAAGAAAGAAAAAAAAAGTAGGTGAAGTACGGAATTCGAAACCACGATCTTTGGCTTATCAAGCACGCACCTTACTCCATTGGCCATTATGCATACTGCGAATTTATGTACAAAACAGATTTATGTAGGAATGATAATCCTCACTACTTGGATTATTTTTCGTTTCCTGCGTGAACTATACATTTTTTTGAATAAAAAGTATCCTATGTCCTTTCTTATACATCTAAGAATATGAATACATCATTTCAAGCCCGAGAAACAAACGCGGCAATAATTTGAACCGTTTTTTAATACAACTCTCTATTGCTGATTTGCCGCAAATATTCTTGAAGTTTAGCAACGGTAGAAAAAATATGGGAGGCGACAATGAGAGTGCTGAATTATGTGAATAAATAGTAGATTGTTTTATTAGGATCAAAAGTGACACTTTGTTTGGCAAGCGAATTTTGCATTTGCGAGGCGGAGCGTTTAGCGAAGCCGAGCGAAAGCAAAATTTGCGAGTCGAACAAAATCACTTTTGATCCGAATGGAACATGCTATTTTTTCTGCAACCGAAACAAATAACTCAAATAAATATGTGAAGTTACCACCAATACCGTGCCATATGTATGCAATGCAACAAATATAGAAAAATAATCCGTGTGGTGAGAACATTCTACCTGCATCAACAGCAGGTTCATTCAATTTTCAAGGATGTTCGAATTGTAGTTTCAATATAAATACAATCACAGAGTGACATATTTGTGTATGGACCAGGTGCTCTAATGGCAAATACCGCGTCAGTGCCAGCTATATAGAAACAAGACTTGGAAAATGTTAGGTTAGTGAGCAAATCAACAATAAGAAGAGCAATTATTTTTTCCTCTCCGTAATACAATGTTTGTCGCTTGATAATCAAAAGAAACAATATCGTTGTTTGAGACAAAAAACTATTGCTTGCCGTGATTATCCAAAAACAAGTTATCCATCCCGAGAATAACGAATGAAATACAGATCAAGCAAGTATTTGAATCTTGAAAGCTTCCCTGATCAAACAAAAATACTCAACTGAGATGTTAATAATTCCAATACTGAACTATAATAGGTGTATTTATATCTCCAGCATGGGTATGAAATGCCAAATCTGCTGAAATCGGGAACAAATCAGGTATGCCTCTCAACCCAAATAACCAACCGTCACAATGTTGTTTATTCTTGATGACGTCCAATAGATCCTTTTTAGTTCCTAGGAGCTAAAGTTCAACTTTAGCTCCTAGGAACTAAAATTCAACTTTAGCTCCTAGGAACTAAATATGTTGCCTAGCAACATACCTATTTTTGTGTCAGTAATAGAAACGTCAATTTAAGAGCTAATTTTGGTATCAAAATGGACGACTTTTGTGTCGGTTGCAGAAAAAATATATTTTAAGGTAAGAAGGTACCTAACAGATTCACAGAATTGAGTCAAACAATTATTCTTCTTTGTATTCGATCAATATGTGAACCTATACGATAAAATTTATAAGGCAGGTTTAGGGGTAATCGCCCCCCGTCCCCAGAACCGCAACTCGCGGAGAATAGCAAAGACGTAAATTGGTATTCAATAAAAAAGCGTACAAGTATTGAAACAGTTATTTACCTAACAAGTGCGGAAAGTAGTACTTTTCCACACGCAACGACAGTTGCACGAACGACGCGGAGCGGAGCTCCTGCAAGTCGTCAAGGGCGGAAGAGACATTATCCGCAAGACTTAAGTACAAAGTTTTTCCTACGAGTGTTTCTGTCCATATTATTTATAAAAGAAAAAAGGATTTCTATAAACAATATTTTATAATGATGCTAAAAAATGACACATAAGACAGAATAGAAACATGGATCATTTAGTTAGTCCTAAATATCTTTATCCTCAACAATACGAAAATCGTGCGGAAAAGTACCTTCTCAGCACTAGTGCGGTAAAGTAACTTTTTCGCACGATATTTTATGCACTGAAAAATATTGCAATAGATTCTTTGTCCATCAATATAACAGGAAACTCATTTGAAGAACATTTAAATAACTATTAATGGTGCCGTGGTCTCGTTTTCGAGAGTCTCGCATGGTCTCGTCTCGTTTTCGAGAAAATACTCGAGACGAGACTCGGACCAGATAGGGCGAGACTTCAATTGGCCTCGTCTCGAGTCTCGTGCAACACTTCTCGTGTCTCGTGCGAGAGTCTCGCAGTTGAATATATCTGCGTGCCGACTACAGACTTGAGAATTTCATTCATAATACAGCATATTATTTAGAAAGAATTCTATAAGAAAACATCGGAATCGCCTTAATAATGAATCTACACGATGTTTGTTATGTTTTAACGACTGAATGATAAAAAACATCTGCGATCGTGAAGGCTGATCTGACTGATATAATTATTTTCCTAACAAGTGCGCAAAGTGTTACTTTTTCGCACGCAAATACAGCTAGGCGAACGACGCGGAGCGAAGTTCGAATAAGGTTTTGCGTGCGGAAAAGACACTTTGCGCGCGTTTTAGGAACAACGTTTTTCCTACGAGCTTCATATCAGATAAAAAGGAGAATAAAAATAAATTATAACTTATTGAAAAATTATAAGATTATAAGATTACCGTAAGCCGCATAGGCATCAAACAATAACCAGTACTTTTCGAATTATCTTAAAAACAAACACAACAGACGATAAATACTCAAAAATGATTGAAAACTTGAGGAAACATAAATAGAAAGTCATTAGCTCACGTACAAAAAAAATATGGGGGTAAGTGTGTACTTGACACCCAGTATTTTGAATATTTGACAGTTTTTTTCTGTTTTGTTTTCCTCACACGATGTAACTCTTTGTGCTGGAGTAATGTACCAATTTTGAGATTGATATCTTATTATATACGCGAGTAATAAAAAAAAAACAATTTCAAATTTCCAACTTTGACACCCTGTATATCGAATATAAAGGGCTAAAATGAAAAATGGTGATTAGAAACTATTGTTTTTTTTTTATTATAAAATTATCCGCATCAACCTCGAGGGTTATTAGCGGGGGTACAGTACAAATTATCAATTTCATTTTATGAATACATCGGGATATATCAGATTATACATTTTGTTTTCCTAGTGTCAATATGTATCACAATCACTTTACTATAAATCTGGTTGTTTGTTCAGCATTTCTGCAAGATTTCTGGACATTGGTATTCGAGTGTAGGGCATTCCGATAATATATGTCGTACGGTTTGTGGGACGTTACGATTTTCACATTGGACTGGAGGTTCTCTCTTCATAAGATGCCATATTGTTTTTGTTCAAGGAATATATGGTTAATGGATCGACCTCCTTTTAGCGGACACCCTGTATATATTTTGATACAGCTACGTTGGTGGCACTGAAGTGAAATAAGGAAGAGGAGAGAGCTTCCTCTCGTTCATGATAGTATAAAGAGCTGAATTGAGAAATTCGATTTACTTGCTATTTTTTATGTGAAATATATTTATTTTTTGTTGCTTCTGATATTACGATATGAGATGGGAAATTTGTCAAACGAGACCGAAGGCCTAATTTGATAACCCATCGATTATCGTAATATGAGTTTATGATACAAATATAGTACAATATTTCACCTACTACCAGAAAGCTGATTATTTGATAAAAAATATTCAATATTCCTTGAACTTACGATTCATTAGGAATATGTAACAAGGAATGTGCGTATGGTTGTCGTGAATTGTGTTCTCGTTTGTCACCCATTAGGCGAACTGTCAACTTTGACGCGCTAATTTCAATTAGAAAAAAAATTCATCGGCATGAATTCGGATCGGGAAAGTTTAGATTCCGATATACATATAGAAATTGTGGCGAATACAACAATCGAAGCTTCAGTACCTGCTATATTCATGATCTTATTTCGTTTTTTGAGTGAAAATAAAATTTGAAATCATCGCACTAGTGCGTTAAAGAATCTCATTACGATACTGAAATCAGTGTCGTAATGTTTCACATTACACATTGGTAGTAGGTAAAGGAAGTTTACTGCATATTTCGATCAACTGGGCCATTGACCAGCCCAATTTTCACTCATTTATTAGAGGAAATGCTCACCTTCATCGTTTCTAAGAGATGCACGATACTATAATTTCGATTATGCATTTTTATTTCGATGTTACGTTTCGTCACGTAGTAGTGAACGCATGTTCGTCATTGTTCTACACAGGAAGTTGCGTTATTATGTATTCTTCCAATGTACACAACAAAACTATTGTACAGCTTATTGTTAGCATGTCGATTCTTCGCATCCGATTTATTTTTTTAATAAAAACACAAATTCTGCTTTTGTGCCAAGGATTATTATTATAACTTCATTCCACAATTCTAAAACTGATTCAGCTAGTCAATTGATCAGAATGTACCTGAGAGTCGTAGAAAATAACAAAAAAAAACACGATTCATCTCATGAAATTCGAAGAACAAGATCTCATATCTGAGGGATTAATATCAATATGAATAGAGTCACGATAATCAAGAATGTTCCTTCTGATGAATTATCATCAAATCAGTTTTACATCACTGATACATTGTCGATCTGAATTGCAAAGCTAGGTTTCAGGCGAGGTAGGTGGTTGTAAACTTCAATTCCTGAATATAACGGGTCATTTCTGGATCTGTTGCAATTATAATTTGGAAGAATCAATTCTTGATTTCTAGTTGGATATGTTTGTTTGTCCGAAGGCCTAGTTAAGTTTGCTCGCTTTTTGTGTATCAGCATACTCATCTTGAATATATAGGTATTCGTCAAGGTGATATAGTTGGCTGAGTGAGCCACAACGAACCTAGTTGCACTACTTCCTCACCTTAGTAGCTCGAAGCTGATACACAGGTGGTTCCTGAAGTAGAAGTACTCCAGCATATGGATGACGTTGTGGTAGCTGTCCTTGTCCTTCTTCCTGAGGTGGTCGAGAATGCGCACCTCGACCAGCGCCTGGTGGTGGAAGCGCTTCTTGTTCCTGATGATCTTGATGGCGACGTGCTTGTTGGTCATGTGATCGAGCGCCCTGATGACCTGCCCGAAGCTGCCCTTTCCGATCACCTCGAGGATCTCGTACCGGTAGCAGATGTGATCGTGCAACACCTGGAAGATAGAATTGGCTTTATTGAGTTATAAACTGATTATTACTATTTTTTTAAAAATAGTAAAGTGTGTCCAGTTTTCGATGCTCTTGCGTGTTATCTCAGTTATCATTTTTTATGAACCTCAAGATGATGGTCTGATCAGATATTGCATAACTTTTTACGTTTATGAGATACAGGGAGATTTTGAAATTGTATACTTTTTGGACCATCTCTTCATCTACGAAGTTTCTCAGCGAAAATGTCAAATCAGAATCTTGTCTCAGAGAATTCCACTTTTAATCCAGTGGCGCACCCAATTTTTCTTTCGGGGTATGGTTTTGGAGATACGACTCGAACTTATGATTTTCTTAATGTAACACTCTAAATTCCTTATTTTTTTCCTTCAAATGATATATAATGAATGAATATAAAATTTCCAAAAATGCTCCTGAAACATTGAATTCAAAAAGTGGGCTATGGATTCTTCATATAAAAATATTTCCAAATGAACGAATATTTCCTAACATTTTTCCATGAACAGGACAAAAACACTCATTAACTAACACAACACAAAACTTATCTACCGGATAGCAACAAATAAATAGTGATAAAAAGTTCATAATGTAAAATAAGTACTAAATATTCAATAAAACGATCGAATTTCGAAATAATTCAGTAACTCATTCATTGAATTGTTCAAATTGATGTCCATTTTTCCTCACAAACTTTCTCCCTACGTCTTGATGCATTCAAAATAATTTAATTTCTGCTTCTATTGTTGCACGGAGTTCTTCACGATTGTTGTGCCTCTCACACGTCTCAATTCATTCAAAATAATTGATTGTCTGCAAGGTTCTTTCTCTAAAGATCACTGAGATATCACTCAAAAGCATACAGAACTGGATACAATGTACATTTCCAAGCAACATATTATAAATAAAACATTGTAAAATACACATATGACACAATTATAAAATCACACGAAAAATATAATATACACTGGATGAAAATACATTACATTGACAAAAAGATGGCTCTCATTCCGTTTTAAAATATATTTATCTTTGATGTCCTTCGGAAGGCTGTTGAAGATCCGAATTCCTATAATGAACACAGATTTGTTCAATTTTTCAGAAGATTGCTCGAAAATATATATGTGAATAGGAAAATCAAAAATTTGTCATTCCAATCGCTTGCAACAATGGCCTAGTTTTGAGGCTGTACGATTTCAAAATACAGACTGTTTTTTAAATATATATATATATATATATATATATAAAAATATATATTTGAACACCTTCTGTTCTGAAAATTAGCCGAAATCTACATTTTATTAATTTTGTCAGATTCAGAGAGGTTAGGAAATACCCTGTATAATCAAGTTCGACAATAAAACTGAGAGAAATAAGCATATCTCTTATCATTCATATTTTTGCAGGTGGAGTGGTTGAATCAGAGGTTTACTCATCCATTTAGGAGTAATTGCCATAGCAACGCCGCACATGCGCATGCAAATTTGGCTGTGACAGATTTGGGTTCAAACTGTTCAAAGGAAGGCAACGGATATTGCACCACAGAGCCAACAGATTTTAGGGTTTAGATCCAAATATCTAGTAGGACAAAGGCATTCCTCTATCTGAAAAAGTGGGATCAGAGCACCAGATGATAAATAAGTTTCGATAGTCGAGTGACAAGCTCTAACCCAGGACTATGGTGACGCCATGAAAGAATTCGCAGAAACTGAGAATAAGTAATATTGACGATGTGTCCTAGATAACCTGATTAACCAACACAAAACACTATAGTAAGCCAATTTTCATATGCACCGAAGCCGTTGACAAAAGGTAATAAGTACTGAAGAGAGTAGGTATAGAAGGAGAAGGTAAACGAAATAAATAGGTCAGTTGCTCCAGCATAACGAAGTGGTTAGGATTCTAGATCAGTCACCAAAAACACAGCAGACCAACTGAAAAGTAATATTCTTTTTACTAACTTTGACTGAGATTAACCAAGATTCTCAGTGCAGCGCAATAGCTCAGTTGTATTACATGTTTCAGTTATCTCAGTCTGATGTGAGATGTCTTAAGAACTTATTGAGACTATTTCTTCCCCCTCACCCCAACCCAACTGAGCCAGCTATTCATCTGGTGCTGTAGTGAGAAAAAAATGAGACTGGAATAATTCTAGTAATTCTATGGTTTTGTGCTGAAAATTGTAAGGTTATATTTTCATTTTGACATGCTTTCAGCTTCTCTTCATTCAATCGACAACTCAGATCCGTCTCACCTCCTTCTAACTGAATTGATCTCAGTAGTGAGAATGTAACAAGGTAAGAAGAATATTGGTAAAATTGAAACAGAGAAGTCGAAAAGGCTTTTATTCGTAGAGGGTCCTGGAGTATGCAAACATTTACTCGATGTGACTATTTGCCAGGCTTCGACCTATCTATATTCATACTGCGTATTATACTGGAAAATGGATGAAGCAGATATGGAATCGAAATTTTATAATGAAATCGAACATGAAGGTAATGAAAAGAGATTATCTAGAGGATTTATTTGAATTCAGGAGCTCATAGTAGTATCACATTGAGACTAACGTGATTATTGAGAGAAGCTTTATTAGTGTCCCCTAATTTGACATCAGATTGGTGGTATAGGTAGGTATACTTCGAACTATATTTTTGATGATTCATCGATAATCTTAACTCAATTATGGCTATTCTATATTCCCAATAAAAATGATGGAAGAATCATGATATTGAACGCTGGTTACTAAGATTACCTAAATATTAGTTTTCAATATTGAGAAAGCCTCACGTCATCATGTGGAATCATATTTATATGTATTACATCAATTTGTGTTTCGAATGTGAATTTTCTTCCAGAACCTACCACAATGTTAGCGTTAACGTTCTATATTACCATTGACTTTCATGAGGAACAAAAAATAAATGGTTTTCACTTATTGAACTCGACTAGATTGCATTGAACATTATTTATTAAACGTGACTTTCGTAAATGTGTACTCTCTAATAGATATGAACCAATATAATATAAATCCATGCAAACGATATCTTATAAATTTTTCACTTCGTGAACTTATCCTGAAGTGATTATCATGATAATAGTCAGAAGCTATTAGTTATTGGCACAGAAATGATTCATGGCGTATTGAAGTTGTATATGAATTTATTTGAAAACGACAACTTCCACAGGGCAGTATAGAGAATATCGCCTGGGACCAATCCAGGCTATAAGACTGAACATTGTTTGACAGCTGCTGCGACTGTTGCTTTTAAAAACTGAATAATTAATTCGAGGCATGGTAGAAATATAATATGGTGTGCTACTCAGGTATCTTGAATTCGTCTTTTCTGCACATAACGTTTTGCGAGTCTATACTCGCACCAAAATGATCATGGCAACTCGGGCGAACTGACAACTGTCAGCTCAGACTGCGAGCAATTGTTTTACTCGTAGTGACGTATACAAAGATGCGTCGTCGTAGCACATCATACTATAATTCCATCATGATTCTAGGCAAATTTATCGAGATTATAGAGAACGGGGCTAGCACAGTGGAAGTGGTCTCTTCAATTGAATTTTGGAGACAAATTAACAATGCTCGTCCTAAATTGGCATATGGAGTCAGTAACAAAGCCTTAACAGAACATGCATTAGCTGAAAGACCTGACAGACACAAACAAGACCAGATTACATAGAACTCATTGTAAAAAATAAAAAATGAAAAAAATACATGAATATGTCGTTCGTATTCGTCAAATGATACTAACTCCATATCATCATTCCACATGCTCGTCGTTCTGAATGAATACTCAAACAGTAATTTCTATAATTTTACATTCAATCACAGTTTCTTGAGCTTCACTCAGATCAAGGTTGAATAGTTTCTTGATTGATAATCGGAGATAGGATAAATGGATCAAAGATTACACAGTGGCGGGTATTTTGCTTCGCCATTTGTGATATATGAATTCTGCCTTCAATTTTGACCCAATAAATGAAATATTGTTTTCTAGTATGCTTCGTGTGTACATGAGGTGTTTTCGAGAAGCAAGATCGATGATATGGTACAAGAAAAACAGTTTTTATTTGGTAATCGAAGATTATAGATACATACTCATACCAAACATTTCATTCCATAAAAAAGTACCACATCACTCACTTTAAACGTTTTCACGATTGTTGACTACTTTTTTGTGAAACTCACGATACTCCAAACATAATGATCATAGCTTGCTTCATTCTTGAGATACAGGGCGAAATTGTGGAAGTTGCATTTTGGGATGCCCCTTGCATCTCAGCTATCTTTCAACTTATCAGAAAAGTAAAAACTATTGCTCAAAAAATTTTTCACGTCGAATTCAGTGGCGTAGTCAGATTTTCAGAATGAACTGTAATTATCCAGATATACTCCATATAGTTATGTTTTATAAATGGAACACCCTGTATATTTTTTTCCACATTTGAAATATTGATGATCTGTGCTTTTTGAAATTGTATAACACTTATGAGGAATTTCAAATATTAGCCATATATTCAGATAATTTCTAGGTTTTCAGTAGATATTTCATCGATGGGCCTTAGCAATAACCCATTAATCTCGAACATTACCGCGTTCGCTTTACTCGCACTTTGAAATATCTCAATTATTTATCGCCCTCATATTGATAAACTACTTTGTTGAATAACTATCAACTCACACATCTACTTTTACTCGTGATTCTAAGATGTTGTACTCACTTTGTTATAACTTCCACTGTCATCATCGTATCCACCATTTTGTGATGCTCCTTGTTCTCCAAGTATCTTACAGGCAGATAATCCGAGATACCAGATCTTTGAATATTTTTCTATTTCAGTCTTTTCGTAGTCTGATAGTCGATTTCCGTAAAGGCGCAATGCCTCTGAAAAAAAACAATGTTTGAATTACCAACCACTTATCATAGCTCAAAGAGAATCGAAGTATTATATTTTATAGGATTACGTAAACTTGTGTTAGGCCATCCAGATCACCAGAGCTGGATCCACGTGATTCTACTGATGAAAAAATTGTGAGATGATCAAAATTTTCACACATTTGCTAATGGGGGGGTGAGACAAAATTGTCGGATATTAATCTGGGCCCAAGTCGGATTCTATGATGATACAGTTATTAATGTATCAAGGGCGTGAAACAGGCTTTTATGAAACTATAAGAACACGATCGATAGCGAGGGCTATTAACACGCCTTGGTCCATAAAAGCAAGTTACGCCCTATCTCGAAAGATCTTTCACCTTTAAAATAGTTAAACTAGTAATAATGACTTTCCGCTCTCACTCCAGGCTAAATCTTGGCAAGCTTCAGATACTCTCTCAAATAAATTTTTTTGAACAATCTATAATGTCCAAGTATTTTGTAATCGGTGTTCTTATTTGTGGCCCTTTTCATGTCTTCATAATATAGTATTCACCAAAACGAATTCAACTTATGCGTATAAAAAAAAAACTTTCTCATCATGTATAAAAATCATCTTCGATCCTACTGATACCCTAAGTCAATTTACAATTTATTTATTCACTATGATTTAACATATTTATGTGTGCGTCGTCTATTTATATCCATTCATTATCTATTACTTCTATTTTTCTCCTTTTGTTTTTTGGGTAGGTGCAAGAGTAAGAATGTAGTTATTGGCAGATAAAATTTAGTCTGAATTGTATTGCTTATTCTTCTGTCAATACATGGATACTATCATTATTATTATCATTATTGAACACATACAACATTCTATGCACGGTTGGTGTATTCGATTTTTCAATGTGAATATCTCTTCACCACTACGAACGATATGAATACATCATGGCAGCAGTGAGTAATATCATCGATGGAATCTACGTGGTAACTTGGGGTAACATGGTCAATTTCTTGAATTAGGAGAAGACAACAGTATTTGCTGTCAATCAATGTCTTCACACATAACTTATTTTGGGTTCAATCCAATCAGATCATTTTGCACCTCAGAAATATTTAGAGAGCTGTAATAATTTTATCATTAGATAAGGAACCATCACAACTGAAACAGAAATGTCCTGTATTGATCAAATATCAAATCGAAATATATGAATTTGAAAACCAGATATTCAGAACCATATTTGCTGCGTGAGCAATAAGTACTGTTTTGTGCAAAATTTTCACAATCACCCTGTACGTATGAATCGCCTGACCGGTAATGAAGCCAGATAGCAGATTCAACGAAGTGGAAAGTGTCATTTTAAATTTCACTTGCGCGAATAATAACGGTATCAGGTGTACAACGGTTTACGGTCTGCTTATAGATACGAATCTGCACAATGCCAATTTATCTGCTCTAAATAATAAGTAAAGACGTTCTAGTATTACAATTTTTCACTTTTACACGCAGTTATATAATATAAAGACACAATTTTAAACAAAACTACACTCCCCAACAAGAGAGATCAGGTACAAATTCATGATGAGTTCATGGTGAATTTATGCAACAGATTTCTTGATGATTCATAAGTTTTGAGTAAAAAGTACCTAATTAGTCATAGGGAAGTCCAGTCAGACAGTCATTGATTCTCAGTTGGTCTGTTTATACACTTTATCATACGTTTCAGTCATAAGTCTCAAGTCATAAGACATTTCTTTCTGAAGACTTATAGCTTATGACTTATGACTGATTTGCTTTACACTCATTTGCCGCATGTGCCGTGATCTATCTTCTGAAATGTCTAGTTTGTTTATATTCATTTAAATCAATTCCAAAATGAGAACTTATTCATGATGACTGAATGATAAAATTTGGTACCTGATTAACATAATATAAATAGATGCAATAATATGAAATTGTGCTATATGAAGGAAATATGATATCAGTCCTTATGATCTCTGCATAAATCATCGAATTGTCTTTACTACTTAGAACCGAGCTTGAAACTAATTACTAACAACTCGTGATTCATGACTGGAGACTTGACTGATGCATAAATTCAGCATGATTTGGTGGTAGTAGTGTGAAAAAATACCTTGAAACAAATTTGAATGTACAAAACCGTAGTTAAATCTGCCTTTGCCTTCTATAAATGGTTATCAATCAACACCACAAGCACAGATTAACAAACCTTACAGATAAGACAGTCAGGACAAGGCGCACAAAATTAGAGAGAGATGACAAAAGCGCAAAGTTTAAAGGGACAGTCGCACTACTGCGCAAGCGCTCGGGATTTTCGGCATGTTTTCCACATTCCAGCACGACTAGCACGAGGCCTGTGTCAACATACCCCGTTCACAATCAAATACATGAAAATAACTAATTTATTTTGAAAACATATGGCAAATATTTATTGTTCACATCTATTTCATGGAACATAAAACAGTCGCTAAGCTCGTCCCGCAAAATCCCATCGTCACACAAAATAGCGTTTCCTAACGTGTTAAGTTTTTTTATCGCTTGGAGCGCACGAAAGAAAATCCCTATAATGTTCAAAGAACATCGTGCGTTCCTAGGGAGGATAGGGACAGGAGGTAGGTATTTGAATTTTTTTGAACTTCTGGAAATTATATGTTGTTGGGAATACTTCCTCAGGCTAGAAATATGTTTCCCAATTTGATCCAATTGATTATTTTAGTAGATTGTATTAAGAATTTTGTGAGTAAAATTTTTTGCTTGTCAGTTTGAAGAATAATATCGCGTTTGACAACAGGATTTTGGATGAGACAATGAACATTATACATCACCAGTTATGGAACATTCTATTTTACGCAACTGATGGCTACGTACGTGAAGTAGGACGTTTCAAAACTGATGGAAGTTTTGAAGTGTAATATTTCATATTACGCGGTGTGCCCACGTGGGCAAACTCTATATATGCGAACGCGAATAAGCGAAACGAACGAATGCAAGCGATTGACGCGAGAATCGCGATGATAATGGCATTCTCCGTGTTTATGTCTTGGTAGGTATATGATATGAGTTCCATTGTTTGTCATCCATATTTCTCCAGGAATTCTTATATGAGAAATGAGTTTTCAAGTACAAAACTCATACGGAACGCGAATATGGCGCGGATTTCGTAGGATAGCACAGCCACATCGCTTCGCTCCGCTCGACATCGCCTCAAAATCGTGTCTCGTTTGTCCCGTCGCTTGAGATTTTCACAGGATATTGTTTTCGGCGTTCTAGGCTGTTTCAAGTCTGTGGTTTGACCGGGCACATACGTCCAGTATGAAGTCTGACTATCGGTTTGACGTTTGACCAACCAGCTGTTTGGGAATATCGGCCACGTTTCAAACCTGCCACAAAGTTACCACGTTAACTTTTGATGGGAGTCGAGTCAGCCATTGGCTATCTTGGCATCACCACTGTGGTCGAACGAATGACTTGACACAGAGCCCTATTGTGTTCTATTCTATTTAGCAAATAGAGGTAGTGAAATCCTCAGCAGTGCTGAAGGTTACATATTATAAGCTTCTGTGAAGGAAAGAATTGAGGTAGGTAGCACCTGACAGTCGCATTGCACAAACAATAACTTGAATCATCGGCATAATGAGTATATTTTTGTCTCAACGCAGCCAAACAAAACTAACCAGCAAATTTGATAGGTGATAAATGCTGTAGATACATGTAATGTTATAGTTATCAGGTGGGTTACCATTACCAACTTTGGAACAAGAAATTCTGCGTGTCATAATGACTTCATCAAAGACGCAAAATAAAAAAATTACGTTTTTTTTGCATTTGATGAATGTTGGTGTATAGGTGTTGTTCAATCACAGGCTCAGATTGATGATTCGGTTATCTAAAATATAAATTTTGGAACGACCAATTTGCATCGGATCCTTATGAGAAATGTTTGTTTGGTCACCACCTTCATTTTTCTCCGTTCAGATAGTCGATGGTTAGGTGGCTATGACTTGATGAACTGGTGGATAGTACAATTGGAACTCCAAGTGGATATAGAGCAAAATATAAGTGACATGGAAAGCTGGGGTCAGAGGAATTACCTTATTTTTAATGTGAAATCCTTTGTATACTTTTTCACATGAGGAAGCATTTACCCTCCTCTACTACGCACCATCTGAAATCTGATTATCATTTCGAGCTACTAGGTACTTACTTGGACTCAAATCTAAGCTTTGACACCCATTCAAACCATGTCTGTTCCACTCTCAACAAATCATTCTATGCCATTTTCCAAATGAAATCCTACTTAGATCAAGAGGGGCTAAGGAAAGTGTACTACAGCTTTGTATATAGTCACTTAACATATAACGTCATTTTCACAGGATGACACAGAGTATTCATTGCTCAAAAAAGAATTACTCGTCTCATATTCAATATGGAATTCCGAGAAACCTGTAGGCAGACTTTCCGGAGAAAAAAATGCTTACACTTACTTGCATTTATATCTTGAAATGTGTAACTTACATAAAGCTACATCCTGAAAGGTTTCATCTGCAGAACAGTCTTCATAGATTCAACACTAGATGCAATGAAATGTCTATTGCTAAATATAATACTTCAACTTTAAAAAAATCTCCCATTTTCAACTGCATAACACTTTTCAATGCTTCACCAGAGAACCTGAGAAGCTTAGATAGCTACAACATTTTTGAATCAAAGGTAAAACACTTCCCCAAAACGGTTTCTATTCTATTGAAGAATTCATTCCTTACAGAGCTTTGTACATGTTTCTTATCCCATATGTGTTGTAATTTGTACATGTTTTTTTTCATTAATGCATATTATTTGTTATACTTTCTATCATACCTAGCTCATTGAGCTTACAATTTTCACAATTTTCATCTATACTACTATGTGATTTGCTTGTGCATCTGTGATCAGCCATCTGTACTATGTATTTTTATACAGCCAATGAAGACTACTACTAAGAATCGACCTTGGTACTGGGAATACTATTCAACAACTTTGAAAGAAGTACCTAAGTAATGGTAGGTCTGGGAGGCTAGTGGTGAACAAATATGTGTAGATGTTTAGGTCCAAATATCGTATGCTTACCTGAGGGAGTCATCGGAAAATCATGTTCCTCTTTGTTGTTGTTGGAGAGTGAATGTGTGGTGCGGGAATTGTTGTTGATAGCCGGAAACGTATCGGCGGCCGGAGACATCGGAGTTGTGGCCAACTTTGGCTGTGGCAGCTGGTGGTGATTCAAGTTCAGTCTGGAGGATAATTTTGTTGTCTCCGCTAATGGCAGCTGCAACAGAAATATCGGAATAGGTGAGTGCATGGGCTAATTTTCCTGTATTTCTTGAATATAATCATCACTCAAATAACTTTCAATTTCATATTTTTTTAGAATTTTTCAGTCGATTTCAAGGTGCTAAAGTCATCAAATATGCCACGGTGAATTTCAAACGGCTAGAAAGGACCCCGCACTAAACTATAGGGAAAATGGCTCTCGATGAAAATCGCTGAATTTTTTGTATGTTGCAGACTTTGATATACTGAACAGATATTCCATTGAACTAACCTCAACAAATGGACAGTTTTTCCGATATTGGCCTCCAAATGTCACTTTTTCGGAAAAAAAATGTATCTGAAAATGGTTGAATTTTTGGCATGTTGTAGATGGGAATGAACTGTTTAAAAAATCCAATTGACCTAACCTCCAAAAATTGACAGTTTTCTCGATATTGACCTGCAAATAGAATTTTTTCAAGAAAAATATCTGAACATTACTGGATTTCTGGTATGTTGTAGATAGGAATGAACTCATGAAAAAATTCAATTGACCTAACCTCAAAAAAAAATTGAAAGCTTTTTGGATATTGACCTCCAAATCTAATTTTTTCGAAAAATAATCTATAAAACGGCTGGATTATGGAGGTATGTTATAGATATGAATGAACTGATGAAAAAACCCTATTGACCTTAACTCAAAAAATTGACAGTTTTACTGCTACTGACCCCTAAATGGCATTCAAACAGCTGTATGAAAGTAAACCTTCAGAATGATATTCTGTACAATTCCAAGGTTAGGAGAGTCAGGGAAAAATAATGCTTCATCATCATCATCGACGTTTCGTCCTTCATTATGGGGCATCCTCAGAAATCTATGAGTAAACCTATGTACTAGAAAAATGAGTCGATTAAAATATGTTGCAGTTTCGATTTTCAAACATATTTACCTGAACATCCTCATATAGGTGAGTAGATGGGCCTGTTTCAGGAAAATATTTCATTGTCATTCATCATTTTGAAGAACTAACCCAAACTTGTTCACTTGTTCACTTGTCAATAATTGTAAATAATTATTGAAATTCACGATATTTTATCACATGAAAATCGCGGGACAACGCGTGTACATATTGTAAATAACTATTGGAATTCACGATATTTCATTACATGAAAATTGCGAAACAACGCGTGACGTCATTACCGGGATCAATCCATTGCAAATATTTTATTTTATTCCATAATTTTGAAGAGCTTACCCAAAGTTGTTCACTGTGCCAAACCGTTTTCTGTTCAGATCTCTGTACATATTGTAAATAATTATTGAAATTCACGATATTTCATAACATGAAAATCGAGAGACAACGCGTGATGACGTTCTATACCGCGATCAATCCATTGCAATTATACTATAGGATACGATTTATGTATTGTGTATACTTCAGTACACAACACTCCACTCCGACTATGGAAATAAATCCTCAATTCTATGAAGAATTTGGAAATATTCCCATTGGTTGTTGAGCAATAAAAATCTAGAAGTGTTTATCGGTATCGGTATGTCAATGTCACGTCATCTGCGGCAAAAGTGTTGCTGAAAGGTGATTATTCTGATTATTTAAAAAAATATATTTGGTATTATTGTAAGTAATAAATGAGTGTATCGACTTCTTCTTTAATAGATGGAATGATCGAAATACAATAGATATATGACATAAATTCGACTAGTGTGTGTATACCTTCAACCCCATTGACTCCGGAAAGACTATACTATAACCATCTTTTGAATAATATATATTTCATTACATCCTCTCTTCGGCGTTCTTCACCTGTGGGTGTATCATATGAAGAAGATTTGTTTTTAGAAGGATGAAATGCCAAATACCAAGTCGAAAACAGCAACTTTGTCTATTGATTTTTGTTCCATTCATCTCATTTTCCATACGTACATTTGGAGGTCAATATCGAGAAACTGTAAATTTTTTGAGGTTAGGTCAATTGAATTTTTCCATCAGTTAATTCCGATCTACAACATACCAGAAATTCAGCCATTTTCAGATATTTTTTTTCTTGAAAAAATTATATTTGGAGGTCAATATTGAGGAAACTGTAAATTTTTGGAGGTTATGTCAATTAGATTTTTTCATCAGTTCAATCCTATCTACAACATATGTCAAAAATTCAACCATTTTCAGATACTTTTTTTTCTCGAAAAAATGACATTTGGAGGTCAATATCGAAAAACTGTCAAGTTTTTGAGGTTAGGTCAATTGAATTTTTCCATCAGTTAATTCCGATCTACAACATACCAGAAATTCAGCCATTCTCAGAGATTTCTTTTTCTTGAAAAAAAAATCATATTTGGAGGTCAATATTGAGGAAACTGTCAAGTTTTGGAGGTTATGTCAATTAGATTTTTTCATCAGTTCATTCCTATCTACAACATGTCAAAAATTCAACCATTTTCAGATACTTTTTTTTCTCGAAAAAATGACATTTGGAGGTCAATATCAGAAAAACTGTCCATTTTTTGAGGTTAGTTCAATGGAATATCTGATCAGTATATCAAAGTCTGCAACATACCAAAAATTCAGCGATTTTCATCGAGAGCCATTTTCCCTATAGTTTAGTGCGGGGTCCTTTACCGCAAGTAAAAACTGACGTCACGATTTCGTAAGTAGGGGCAGACCATGATCATTTTTACCAATTAGTAGTAAATAAAATAGTAGTAGAAGTAGATGGGGAGGCTGTACCCAAGCAAGTAGGCCCCGATGGGCCCTTTTTGCTAATTTTTACCAATTAAATTGTGGAGGCTGAGTTTGGTCAGGGAGTTTCATTCTGGTCCACTACTAGCATGGCGTCAGCCCATTGTGATCATTTGTGTAGTGATTTGAGCTTTCAAGAATGTTTTTCCTTCCTATCGAGACCCCGAGGGTCTCATAATAATTCAAAGTTTTTCTTCGACCGAATGCGGATGTGTCCATGAAGTATCACGTGATTCTCTGTGATCAATCTGACAATGAGGTTTGGGAATGGAAATTTATGGAATATTAGTTATTCAATAATTCATAATTTCTCAATTATGTATTGGTAATATTCCTAATTAGGAATGAAACATGAATTGTCTCAAAATGTTCCCTCATGTGTAAATAATAATTATATCGATTCACACTAGAGGTCATTCGAACCAGTAAACGTGACAACACTGTGCACGAATTGTGGGCGGTGTCTTGTCAATTCTCAGCACAATGTTACCAAGTCTCCATTCACATGATATTTTGTTATGGACAATAAGAACTATTTGGACATGCTGATTGCTCGAATGTCTTTGCTTACTTGAACAACGACATATTCAATTATATTTCAACAACATTAATAGTTGACATGAAGAGTTTTTTGATTCAACTATCATTTCATTGTTCAATCAATCATGTGTTTCTCCTATACGACAAATTTTTATTGATTTTTACATTATAGTTTGTTGATTCACCATCTACCTGAATTTTTTTCAATATCATGTAAGATTTTTCATCAATTTCGTGCATTATATTATTTTCACACATTATAAATAAATTAGATCATTGATATTATTTGTTGTATTATCAGGAAATATGTTTTTGATTCATATAGATATTTTTCTGAACACAACCAACAGATATTCAGGGTGTTTCAAAAGGAGGTGACCCCCTTGCAAAATAAGTTGGGTTTTGTCAGTAAAGAAATGTCGTGATGACATCCTTCCTCAAGACACAAGGTGTTGAAAAATAATTTTTTTACACATTTTTTACGATTATGTCGAAACTACTGGCAACATTGTGATGAAATCTGGTATAAATATGTTATGGAAGCTGACACATCGCTTGAATTCATTTTTATATCTCTGACTCTCATAGAGGGCGCTTGTTACACGGTTCGTATAATGTACCTGTGATGAGGAATATCAGCCAAACTTCAATTAATGATATTGAGTTGCTCCTTCATCTATTATATAGTGATACGGAAAATTACGAGAGAATGAGTACCTATGAAGGGGATTTGTCAAGCCAATTCAAATCAGAGTATTATATACAGGGTGGCCGTTCGAAAACGAAACAGAGGCTCTGTAGTTTCGATACAAAAAATGCTAAAGTCGAAAAATCTCGATTTTGAACACCCTATATCCAGCTAGACCCCAAGTGTAGTGCATTGATGACATAAACTCTTGTAGGAGAATCTAAAAATGCAACGAAATACAAGGTGTTTCTTTTGGAATAACAAAGTTGTTGCTTCTTTTCTATACTATACTATCAAAACACGAACAAATCAATATAAAATATGTATGTGGCATTAATTGTACCAGTGTGTATGTACAACCCCATCTTTGCAATGTTCCTATTCATTTAATTTTTTTCGGAGAGTTATTCATTTATTGTTAGTGTTTCTGAGAGACCAGAAACATCAGAATCCCTCCACAAAAAATATTGATTTCCTACTAGAGATCAGTAAAAACTCTCAAGAGGTTTGGAAGTGACCATTCAGTAATACTTGTCATCGAAATGAGTGGATAGATAAAAAAATCTATTGTAGGGAAATGCTTGAAAATTATTCTCTCCCTTTATCGACATGTATATAAAATGCAGGTGGGAGGAAATCGCTGGGACACATTTTGAAGTTAGTTCCTAACACTGTTCGTTATGCAGTGCATTGATGATTGACTTCCAGGCCAGTCGATAAAGGTAGCTTTCAAAATCGCAAATACTTGACACTATATATACCCATAAATTGTTTCCTCATAGCTTCTATTTGTTTTCCAAGGAAGTTATAAACTATAAATGGCAACGAAGCATTCTTCTTCGAGCCAGACTTATTCCAAATTGTTCCATTCGTCTATGAGAACGCACGACTTTTTATTATTTTTATGGAATATCGTGCGTACCTAGGGAGGAGATGGAGACGAGGTAGGTATCCGAATTTTTCAACTCCTGGTCGTTATCAGTTCTATGGAATACTTCTCAAGATTAAGAATTCCAAAGCTTTATC